GAACGCGCACACTAAGTGTGAAATGGGCAATTTTATCCCAGAAAGTGTAACATCCTACGCTTGACAGGGAAAATTGTAACAATTGTTGTGACAGTTGTTGGCACTGTCACTGTCAAAAGTACTCCCGTAAATTTACATTTGATCATTTGATATCATTTTACGTCACACGAAACACACCATGGAAAATTTTCACAGAGGGAAAGCCAAAAGGTAGATGAGAGTTGTCACATTGAAATGTTACAAAAAGGTCCCTGGTTGGAATCGTTAACTCTTTAGGGAAAAAGAAGCGCCCCACCAGCCCCGCCTTGCTGAGGGCGACGCCAGCCTGCAGCTCCGCGGGTATGACTAGACCACCGGGCTCCGCAGCCGGAAAACAATTTCCAGGGGACACACTGCCCGGCCCGGGGGACGCATGGACAGTCAATTTCACGCGGATGCGGCCGGGCGTGGCAAGGCGCGGAGAGGTGTGGCGGGGCGTGGCGGGGCGTGGCGTGGCGGGGCGTGGCGTGGCGGGGCGTGGTAGGTTTGGCAGATCGGACCCCAGGCCTGCGGGGGTTCCGCCGCGCTGGACACTCGACTAGAGGTGCAAGCCACCCACCGGACCTGGAAGAGGCCGGCGGCGGCGCTCTACGAACCGGATCCCATTTCGAACAGGCGCTCCCCTGCGAAGCTCACCTGTAACAGAACGGAAAACAAACATAAGCCTACATTTCAAAGTGAACAACAAAAAGGTTCCAACAGCAGCGAGAGAGAAGAGAAGGCGGTGGCGATGGTCGCGCGGCGGCTCCAGGGCGCCGTGGAGGTAGGCAACGCGCACGCAGCCGCGCCCGCACCGCGAGATGTGGCCTACCTCCAAGGGGCCCCGGTCACCGAGCAGCGGGGACATCTGGCATGGCTTCCACGAGATGTACCTTCAGTCAGCCGACCCCCCCCCCCCCAAAAAAAAAAAAAAAACAAGAAGGGTTCAGCGAAGAATCTGTAGAAGTGGGAGAAAGGTATCGTTCGCGTATACGAACAGAGATACTAGCACTCGTGCAAGCACAAGGCAGCGGGTATTGGACTTCAAAAGGGAGTATGCACGCACGGCCAACCGCATGCTGTGCCTCGCCCCCTTTTCCCTTGCGGTCTCTCCTCTTTCTGGTTCATGCGGCTAGCATGCGGTCTGTTGCAGATACATCATTCGACGGATTTAAACACTTAAATTTTGCAAGCCAGTTAATTTTGACGCAAAAAATGCGTGGTAAAAATTTAAAATTAAAGTAGCGCCAAACGGGGTTCTAACTCTTTACACGAGGAGGGCTTCTCTGATGCGAGTAGGCCCAGTGAAACATTCCAATTACACTACGCATTGTCCTGTGCAGCGGCCGCGCGGCCCGCTCCCCCCCTACATCAAGGACCGGACCGCGGCCAAAACCCCAACCCATTATTAAAACTCAAAACTCATTTCCCACGGGGCCGGCAGGCGCAGCCTCGGCGCCACAATCACGAACAAATGCCGCGCGAACATGACGAGGAGCGGCGCGCGCGGATAGACAAACGACGGGCAGATGCAGCAGCCGCCGCCCGACCAACGTTTTTATAACAATCGGGGCCCTGCGCTGCGCCACACAAAACAGCGGGGATTACAACACAACAGCACAGACGCGGCATTGTCCTCCTACCATGACATGCCCCTCAAACACATGAGAACAGCAATACCCGTAGGAACATGTGACCGACATGTCTTAGGGGAAAATCAAGTACCCTTTCCCTGTTTTTTTTCCTCAAAGGTTACCTCAAGCACGTTCGGTCATTCGCAGAGCGCATACAGTATACCCGCACAGTACGTGCATATGATGGTCAAAGAAGCTCGGCTCGAAACAATAACACTGTCTACAATTCCACAATTCGTACCATAGGACGGAAACAACAATGCCACGGGTAGAAAGAGCAGAAAGAGTCTAAAAGCAGCCAGCATGGGGGTGTGCTGGACGAAAAGATCTGAAGAGGTTTGGGGAAGTGGGCTTGGAGAGCAGAGGCATTTCAAGCGGTATGGGCGGACTTTGAAGCGTCTGACACTCGAAGCGGCTACAACTTTTCAGCGGGGAGAGCCAGCCGCCAGCTAGCTAAAGCATCCCTTTTCCGCGACTGCCAATCGAAATCCCCCCCCCCCCTTTTCCCCTCCTCCTCTACGACAGACCCGACCGACCCTTCAAATTATTGGGCGACGCGATATCGGGGCCGAATTAAACGCACAACTTAACCGGAATGGAGAAGGGGACGAGGGCGGGAGGGGGGGGGGAGAGAGAGAGAGAGAGAGAGACTCCCAGTAGCCCGACGGCCGCGCGCACACCTCCTCGCGTCCTAGAGAGCAGCCGCGTCAAACTCGCATTGCTTCTTCTTCTCTCTCTCTCTCTCCCTCTCTCTCCCCCTCTCTCTCTCTCTCTCTCTCTCTCTCTCTCTCTCTCTCTCTCCACCACCCCGTCCCTCCTCCCCAGCTAATTCCGAGAGAACAATGGCTAATGAAGCGGGGCACGGAGCTGCAGAAGTAGAGAAGAGTCGCCCCCGCCGCCCGCCCCGGCCGCGGCCGCCGCCGCCCTAACTACAGCCGCCGCCGCCCCCGCCGCCGCCGCTCCGCCCCTAACTACAGCCGCAGCTGCCGCCGCTGGCAACGGGATTACAGGACAGAATGTGCGGTTCGGAAAGAGGACTAACTAAGAGTGAGAGGTGAGCGCGCGGCGCGGAGAGGGAGAGAGAGGAGGTGGAGATGGGGGGAAATGGGAGGAGGGTTTGCGGGAGAGGAAACTGGTGTGCGGAGCGAAAACAGTCCCACGCGCAGAAAATGGAGATCGCGGTGGAGAAACCATGTTTACACCTCAGGGTAGCTCCATCTTTTAGATTGTAAACACACAAGCGGTAGTTTTGGAGACGTCTGAACTTATCTCAGCAGTTCTCGACGTTCTCGACTTTACAACAATGAGGCGAATCAGGCGCAGAACCGCCGGATGGTGGTTGGTTGGTGAGCACTGGGTACCGTTAGGCACACACGTGTGAAACGCACAGACACACAAACAACGCACGAGTTCTGAAAGGTTTGTAAGCAAACGTCGCATGCATAGTTATCGACAGACCAGCAGCGGAGCGGCCAAAGTATGCGTCCCAGTGCAACACAGTAATGGAGAACACTGCAAGAGAGTTTCGGAGGGATTCAGCAACAGATCTAAAGCCAAATCTTTCTAGACACAAGCGAAAAGAGGCATGTCAACGGGTGTACAACTTTATTGTGGCACAGAGGGAGTAAGTAAGAAATTTCGTTGTCAGAATAATTAACAAGGACGTCCAAAGAATAAATTTGTACAATAACAGATTCTGCGAAGTTTTGGTTTATTATTTTACGGGAGAGTTGCACAGTACAGCACTGGTCACGACAGCTGAACGCCAGATGATATCCCGTTGAGTAATAGGCTGGTCCGTCAGCGCGACCGGCGTGCGGTCTGTAGGCAGGGGCGGGCGGGGCGGGCGGAGCGGTGCGGTGGGGTGGGGCTGGGGGTGCTCCTGAATTGGTCTCATCCTCTTTTGCTTCTAATTGTCACTCACAAATTCCATTACCGTGTCGCCAGCGTCACGCTGCAGCGGTGACAGGCCAATCATGAGAGTAATTCTTAATTTCCGAAACAACAATAAAAATGAAAGGAATACAGCAAAAAATTAATTAATGTTTGAACTATTCACAAAATCCATCTTTTGACTCCCCTCTATAGCTTTCTCCCCCTCACCATTCCTCCGCTTGTCCTCACACACCACAAGAGGCCCGACTTCTTGTCCGAGGCAAAACGTTCCCCCCCTCCTCTCACTAAAGGCCTCTTGACTGAGCAAACAGAGCTCTGCTCTGCCAGGGCTGGCCGAGGCCGGGGATGCTCCGCTCTGCTCCGCGGGGCCAGCCGGCCGGGGAGAGAGGCCGAGGCCTAGCGTGATTGACAAGCAGCTCTCAATTCAGCCCCGCCGGCTCATGAGCCAACAGGACGAGGCAGAGGCAGAAAGGAGAGACGGAGAGAGAAAGAGGGGGGGGG